GTGTGTGAGGAGGGGGGGGGGGATGAAAGCGAGTGAGGATTGGCCATGGACTAGCACGGAGTTTGTGGAATCTAAGACTTACGTCGAATAAACAGTCAACTAACGTGGTCGGTCTTTATGCTAATGCATTGGTTTTGGTTAGACATTGAAGGTGTGTGTGTGGTGCGATTTCGTGCAGTGGTATGAGGGTAGACGGTTAGTGCGTCTGTAAGCGACGTATTTTATTCACTTTTCCGAAAACACGCACGGTTGAATCCCAGTCCAGTTGGGAATAATTTATGTGATTTTAATTACTACCTATTGGCCCCGGTTCGCTTGGATGATAAAGAACGGGGGTAGAACCAGCAGCCTGGAAAGTTGGATTAAGTGAAATGAACGAATCCGGTGTAGCATGAGCAGCGGCGAGGTGGCGTCGGCGTAGAAAGAATTCTCTGAAGTCCAGCGATCTAAATGAACCTTCATTTTTCATGTGAAAATTGTCCCGTCTACAGTTTGTCAAAAAGGTGACGTGTTGGGATCACTTATTCGCAATTATCTACAGAAAAACCTCCTGTCACCCACAGAAGTGTATCAATTGGGATTCTCTGGAAAACCGAATATTTTCAGGCAGTCAAACTGTTTTTCGCTGAAAAGATATCTGGTCCCAAATGAAACGAATGGCAAATCATAGAGTATTTGGAGAACGGCATGGTCAAAGTACATTATTTGCCAATAGGAAGATAATATGGTTTTTCATCTCAGAAGTTACGAATGAAATATTCGTTGTTCCTCACACTTGTAGGTATCCTTGTATTTCGTACGTGTTATTTATTGGTAATCAAGATAACAGAAAATGTGAGAAGAATACTGCCTCATACAACAATGGAGACAAAAATACCAGTGGCACTTCATGCCATTTTTGAGCTGCCTCTATGTAAAACAATCTTGAAGCTCATTCGCCATGTGTACATCTTTCTAAAAATAAGTGCCATTGCTTCCGTAATAGTGTACTTGTTTTCAATTTCTTCAAGAGACGGAACAGTATTCAACGGCTCCAACTGTGTATTGGTGATTTCTTTGCTTTATGCAACTGCGCAAAAGTAGACATCAGCGAAAAAACCGCTCCATTTCGAGTGTGAATTCCGGTTTCAAATGGTTCGAACGAACTTCCATTCTTGTTCATTTAAAAACATAGGTTCAAGGATTCGGTTGTCGAATAGGCTGCTCATATCTGTTGGAAAGTGTCGATCCACGACCTGGTCAATGTCCTAAACTGGTCGATATCACTGAGAATGAGTCCTCTTCAATAGCAAAAAAATCTACCACATTTTCAGAGACGCCGCGATGTGGTAGCGAGTGTCGTTTGGACTCCGCTTGTCCGAATTCATTACACAAATGCTGTACCACGGGATGTAGTCGTGTTTGCACACAGGTGAGTCACTAATAACTTGCAATATTCTGCTGTTCATTGGTTTTTCCCTTCTCATGCGTACTTCAAAAAATTTGTTTACCTGAGCCAGATGAACTGTTGATTGGTAGCTGAAATCGAGTGAAAGGAGCTGTCCTAGAGTGGGCGAGGGTTATCTACATTATGCATCGCTTCATACTCATCACCTGGTGAAAAATTCTGACCACATTACACCTTATTGCTTGTTTATACTCGTGTTTTGGGATTATGTTACGAAATGAAGTCAGATATACTCTGACAATCAAATTTCAAACAGTCTAGCGGAACTAATAAAATCTAATCCTTTGAATGTCATTCTCATTTATGTCTGATCTACTACATAGACCAGATGACAGCACTGAGCATACAACTGGATCGCTTTATCTGTCATGCGTTGAAGTATCGAATAACACTGGAGGATATTACGAGTTGCGTCTTACTGACCAAATTTGACCAAACTATTATTCATGTGAAATCAGAACCTCTATGATGAAATGAAACATTTACGATACATGGTTCTGTATAGGGCGATGGGTTAATGGTTGTATAAACTGAGATGGAAACTGTAGGGATAACTTCAAAATAATTGGGCTTCAACTAAACATTTTCAATCGGGGTTTTGACCACAGTCAGGTTTTCATTACATTCGTTGCTTATTACAATGAGTTTGCTTCAAAATCTGATTTGTCTGTAGCCACACAAGTCTCATTTGATGTCTTGCAGTTGTGACATACTTGTGTCGCTAATATTTTGCCTCCATGAGCTGTTCTGTAAACGCACAGATGAATTGCACACTCAAATGAATGAGCGCATGGATGACCAGCTTCATCGTATCCAATCACATTTTACGACTGAAGTCTAATAGTCAAAGCATTGTACCACAAGCCCTCACATACCGAAGTTGTGTTTTCCTACAGCATGAACGGAGAATAACTGGTCACGAGGTGGGCAGTATTTGATGAGCTGTTAGGTGCGTTTGTAGGAGACGTGATGTGATAGGAAAGTAATCCACGCACACGGAAGGAGGAGTCACGTATTTCCAAGTGATCGGTCCTACTTGCTGTGCCACGCCACCACATCCCTTTCTTTTCTTTCCCTTCAACGGATTTGAACCTTTTTATGATTCCCTTAGGGTCTATCTGGAGCATGCAACCCGGTCAATAACAGTTGAACGAAAGGGAGAGCATTGTGCTGTGGTCTCGTTCATAGTCACAGTATATAGGAAGCGGGGTTGTGGGGTGGGGTGGGGGGGGTAAATTGATGGGATAAATTGTTCTTGCGGCCCCGTTCCAAATGAACCAAACCTGTTTCACTGTCTGGATTCGTATTAAGCCCTACAAAATACTCGGAGGCCGAATGTGGTGGGACGTGTCTGTGTGCGCACAGACTTCGTCTCGTCTCAATGGTCCTGTAGAAACCATGGCAACCAAGTCTTAGACTAAGTGCTAAAACACCTTATGCACATACATCATTAACAAAAAACCCTTGTTCATGTATCCCCTCTATACATGACCTGCATTTAAAAACAAATGTATTTTTGTTACACAACGTGCTCCTCACCTCCGAACGTGTTTTGCATGTTCCTTCTTTCATGTCCTGTTTTCCCCCCACAGCCCATATTCAACGACAGTACACCTCCACTACCCGGAGCATTGACGCTGCAAATTTCAGAAGTCTCAACCGCCATACTCTCACTGGACTGGTCTTCACCTTACAGTCAATTGACAAAAGCTTGCGGCCCAATTGTATTTATTTTACAAACGCGAATATGTGCATGTAAGGTATTGGATGCGACACAACTGACCAAATGGCAAACGTTGATTATGGTATGTCCTGGATAGTTTTGTCTGTTACTTTCTGTGAACAACACCCGCTTTCATGCGTCGATAGAAGCCATCTGATATCAGCTCAAAGTCCCCGAGGTCAGATAATTTAGAGATTGATATTTCTCGTCAGTCGAGATGCAGATTCTGACCACCAACAGATTTCTGTAAGATAATTTATTTCATCCTTATCTTCTACCGGAAAAGCTCGACTTATATGGTACACTCTCGATTCTGTTAGACATTTTCTTGGGAAAATTGGGCTTACTCTAGAAAAAGAAAGCATCTTCAGGTTTTGATTAGGTTGATCGAGGTAAGGNAAGGTTGTTCCGCATCGTGAAAGATTTGCAGTTCAACTTTAAAAAATCACTTCATCCAATGGGAGTAATACGAATAACAGAATTAAAAAGATAACGCCCAACTATTCACGTCCGTTAGTCCCGCAAGGTACAGTACACGTATTCTGTATGGATCACTTTTATGTGACTCAGAACGATGGCATGTCCTTTCTATCGTGTTTAGTCCTGGTTTGTCTTCCACAACCTTAAGTCCTGGGCTTCTCTAGGTAGACGTGTTTGTCCATGCTACTCAATGAACTAAAGAAAATCATTCACTCCAACCCGTTCAATTCGATTTCGTGATTTGGTCGGACAATACAGAATACAGAAAGGTAGGTAACCAAACCTCGATTTCATTGCTAACGTATGGTCCGTTTCATGCGGTAAACACGTTTTACAATTATCTGGCCCAGGAGAGCACGCAACTGTTAAGGTGCCACTCGGCTAATTTATCATTAGAATGTCTTCATATCAAATTTGGATAAAGTTATAGTTTGATAATATACCAAACATTGAAGTTCTTACATTCTCTTTCTGTGGACAACCTACCTGTCATTGGTTGAGATCCTCTCAATCAAAAGAATTTTTCAAAAGCGGTTCTGGCGTAATTTTGATAAGGGTTTTACCATTCATATACTCGCCAACTTTAGACTACATAGTTACGAACAATATCACGGTGACTTTTACACTATAAATAAGTAAAAACCAATCCTCACTTTGATAGGACAAAAGCCGATGGTATGAAGTGATCGGAAAAGAAAATTGACTTATAAATAATGGTTCGAATAGTGTGATTTACTAATAAAAACACAGTTTCATTAGAACTGTAATCTAATTTCCATTCGTCTCGCTCTATTCTGCCCACAGAGACAAAATAGCACTTTAGTTTTGGAACGAAACATAAAAACACAGTACCGATATCGGGCTCACTAAATTGCGTGACAATCACGGTGTTAATCGGAGTTGACAACCTTCAGCACACACTGGCCTCATCACATTGTCTAATATTCTTAATCTGTCCAAACCCAATAACTCAAAATAAGTGAAAAGTTTAAACACTGTTTCTGAATCAGTTGAAGTGGATGAAAATCATGGGAATAGTTTAGATCTATTTTTCCGTAAAGGGCTGTTCAACTGGCGTGGAAGAAAACAGGCTTCTTTTCTTCACGTCCCTGGTAGTATGAAGAAATAGTCGATTCTATTCCCTTGTAAGATGCATATGATTGCGTCCTCTGCTCTTTTGTTTGGCCCAACCAAGTTGAAAACGTTTCCGATGATGTGCTGATTCAGGAGATTCGTGCTCAGATGAACCAGTCTAGTTTCTCAGACTCAGCTTGCAAGGATGGTTGGTGCCATATTTTGTATAAACCAAGCAAAACAGTTTGGTATGTGACCCGGTTGTCAAGCGAGTTTTGTAGTTCTGTTTTGACTGTTAAGTTCCCGTGTAGATACTCAGTTATATGCATTGATAAAAAAAACTGTAATACGGTCCCATCCCTTCAACCCATTTTGTCTTTTTACGGTATCTAACGAAATTCATCACTTAAAAATAATCGTTGGTAGGGTAAAAACACAATTTATATTTTACCTCAGAGATGTGCATCTGATCCCCTTATGATGGCCAATGAATCAATAATTAATGCGATCACTCAGTTCGTAAATAGTTTTAAACAAGTTGCGTAGTCCGATTCTTCAATGCCAACACGAAACTGTTTCGAACTAACCGTTGAACGATACCGATCACTTATTCATCGGGTTAACCCTAGCTCAGAATCGTAAAACGGATTAGGTGCAAAACGAACGTGCACAAAACACGATAGAAATCAATTAATGTTGTCGAAATCTCACCGCGCAGACAATTCAACTACCCGGTACTGCCCAGTTTTGCTCACTCATGAGATTGCCTAATTTCTCATGCCTAATTTCCGATGTTCAATTCACACGTTTCCGCCACCATCCGCCGCACGAACACACAATCGTCGAGACTATTGCGGTTCTGAGGGCAGAAAACCGTGCCATTCTTTTTATTGGCCGCACGGCGAGAAAAGTTGACCGAAGGTGATGTCAATGAAGCAATTTGTTTACTTGTCAGCACTGCATTGTAGGTTGTGTATTGAAAACTGTTGTCAGGAAGACGTATTGCACATTTGTAGAAGTTTTGCTACTTCACTTCGCCTGTTCGAAATTTCAATCTGTTTAGTTCACACGATCAGTCAGCTGCTTGACTGAGACAGGGAGTCCAAACTACATCATACCGTGGCAGATATTCATCCAACTATGTCCATGGATGCTGAATTCGAAAATTCGATCAAGTTGATTAATACTCCTTTCTCTCTGCATCAGGAAACCAATCACTATTGGAGTGATACAAACTGAAATTTTGACTGATATAAACTACCTTTGAGGTAATATTTCAAATCACATGTTCCCGCGTTGGGCAAATTCATTGTTTAAGTGTTTTCCAGCGTCTGTATAAGATAGGACAGACGAAAGAGACCGCTGAATACATAAGTCTGCCGAATGCTTGTACATTTTCCGTAGTACTGACTGTTTAGCCTGTCCTGCAGATGAAAAATGATATATAATACAAAAATCTTCCGGCCATGCACTTCAATTAACAGTTGTATGCAGCAGTTCACTCCCGACCATACTCGTCTCGCGATGACTCATGTCGGCAGATGTTTGTTTGAGTTCATCCCTGCTCCTAGTGTGCGGTATTAGCACCAGACAACGTTTTGCGTGTCCCCGTTGACAGAGTGCGAATGATATGAATTGTGTTTACACATACATGTCTGACGAGCTTTGTCCATGATCATCAGCACATTGTCGTCTGACGGTTCCACGCAAGCCGAATTCCTCAAACCTGATGCTCACATTTATTGCAACACTTGCTCCCTTTCATCTCTCTCCCCTTCTCGTGCACTGAATAAAGTATCAATGCCTTTTATCTTCCCGTGCATCAATGATGCGTCTTCAGAAAAGTCGAGGGATATGCATTCCTCCGTTTTTAAGATTCAATAATCGGGAGGTCAGCCGAATTTTTTCCGTCGAACTGGGCGTGTGTATGCCCATCTTATTGTATTTTTTGTCGCCTGTCAATTAACACCTGTCCGATTTTCACCGGTCAGTCTATACTTCGGGACCTTTTGTTATCCGATAAGTGAGGAATGACAAAATGAAAAACACTATTAAATGAAAAGTGCGAAACTATCGATCCAATCAAATAAATCTGTCCGGCAGTTTTGTTTATATGTGCGTGTGTGCGTGTGTGTGTGTGCGTGGCTTACCAAAACAACTACACACACATCTGTTTAGGGTTTATTTGAGATTGAAAATATCGAAATGTCAGAAGTAGGTGACTATGGTGGAGAAATGAGGAGATCATGAGCATAAAATGTCTTTTCAGGCAACGAAGTGCCTTTCAGGATTCCCAGTGGTGCCGCCGGAAAAGCTCTCATGACTACGGGGGAAAGTTCGCAGCAAACATTTTACTGACCCTAATTCAAGAGAAAAGCGAGATGATTTTTTTGTGAACAATCAAAACTCATTTTGTTAGGTAAATTAATACATGCAAAAGGAATTCTCAGTACGCGTGTGAATAATTATCTATGTACCCTCAAGATTCAGACCGTAAAACTGTACCTGGAAATGAGTAGAATTAATTGTCTTCATGCTTACACCGTATGAAACTTCTACCGGCTTCTAATCCGTTTCTGGGAAACAATATCTCCTCGTTTCTTCCTACCGACCTGTGCTACTCGATTGGTTTTTAAACTCAATCACCATCTCACTGTTATGGCTTACAAACCAGCAGCAGTGTAGTTTCACCTTATCCAAATTAGTCAGCATTCAATATCATGTAAAATTTGTATCCTGGTTTCCGGCGGTGTATAGGATGAAATAAAAGTTTCCCAAGATAAAGCGTTGCGATTAGGTTTATGCGAAAACAACTGTTGTAATTGAACGGCCGTATTATAGCATACAGTTGGTGGTAATGACACTAAATTGATACACTGAGTTTGTTTTTATACAATGTACAACATACGGATGAGCTAGTTCCAACACGGTTTTCAGCTACGTCGTTTTACCGGTGACATGTGAACTCTCGTTTCACTCCTGGTCGGTTGCACTGGACAACCACGGAGAAACACTACTGGCCGTGCACAGAAACACAAAAGCTCCTGGCCATGTTTGACACAAAAATCTTTCGGAGATCAAATCTTTCCGATAAAAGAGCTTTCTCTGTCTAAATTAGTTTGGTTTTGCCCCAGCCAGCGAGTCCCAAGTTTGAGTACTCGCACCCACCCTCTTGGTACTTTTTGTCAATAATGTTCTATCTAAGACTTCCAACCCAGTCCATTCCTTTGTCAATGAAGCCACCCTCCATTTCTCCCTCTACTATATAATTCTTGGTAATGCCTGCACCAACACCCATCGTAACCGTTTTGCAGTTAGTGCATCACTGGACTGCAATCTTGAATATATCTAGTCATGGGGCTCCCTCAATTATCCTGAGTTTATTGCTCAGGAAAACCTCCTTCCTTCTACTTCTCTGAAACCCTTTTTCTTCTCCCGGCATCTTTTTATTCATTTCACCCAAATGCATTCCACAGGCCCTAATTTTCCTCTTACATCGCTTATAACTTATTAGTGCTTGCTTCCCGTTGCGTGCAAGGATATTTTTCTATTCCGTGCCAGATGCTTCGTCATCCCACCTCGTTTTCT